AGGTTTTCTAACTCTCCGCCCAAGCGCCAGTGTCCCAACGGCCATGCCCAATGGTGCAGGGGCCATGGCCCATTCGGTGGACGGTTTGGGGCGGTTCTTGTACGTTTAATCGCGATACTGTGTGTCGGGGAGGAACGGATTAGAGACGAGCGAAACGGAACGGAACGGAAAGGAGGTAACTTATAAGAATAAAAAGCGGAGGACATGTCGGGTGTGATCATACTAGCACTAACGCACCGGATCCCATCAGAACTCCGCAGTTAGGCGCGCTTGGGCGAGAGTAGTACTAGGATGGGTGACCCCCTGGGAAGTCCTCGTGTTGCACCCCTTTTTTGTGTCAGACCCGAATTTTCGGTCTTTAAGAGGCTGTATTTTTTTGTGCGGGGCCCATTTGGTGGGCGGTTTTAATATTTGTAGATCTCGAAAAAATACCCAGATTCAAAAAAAAAATTGCCTCAAACGGACAACTGAGCGCAAAGTTATGGTCGCTTAAAGTTTTGTTAATTTTTAATGGTTTTCTAACACTCCGCCCAAGCGCCAGCGTCCCAACGGCCATGCCCAATGGTGCCAGGGCCAGGGCCCATTCGGTGGACGGTTTGGGGCGGTTCTTGTACGTTTAATCGCGATACTATGTGTCGGGGAGGAACGGAGTGGAGGGGAGCGGAACGGAGTGGAGGGGAGCGGAACGGAACGGAAAGGAGGTAACTTATAAGAATAAAAAGCGGAGGAGATGTCGGGTGCGATCATACCAGCACTAATGCACCGGATCCCATCAGAACTCCGCAGTTAAGCGTGCTTGGGCGAGAGTAGTACTAGGATGGGTGACCCCCTGGGAAGTCCTCGTGTTGCACCCCTTTTTTGTGTCAGACCCGAATTTTCGGTCTTTAAGAGGCTGTATTTTTTTGTGCGGGGCCCATTTGGTGGGCGGTTTTAATATTTGTAGATCTCGAAAAAATACCCAGATTCAAAAAAAAAATTGCCTTAAACGGACAACTGAGCGCAAAGTTATGGTCGCTTAAAGTTTTGTTATTTTTTAATGATTTTCTAACAGTCCGCCCAAGCGCCAATGTCCCAACGGCCATGCCCAAGGGTGCCGGGGCCAAGGCACATTCGGTGGACGGTTTGGGGCGGTTTTTGTACGTTTAATCGCGATACTATGTGTCGGGG